TCTTGAAAAGACACAAGGATGGGAAATTCAAATACTTAGGACTCAGAGGTGAATTGAATAAAAGAGTCTGTGAACCTTGGTACACTGAAATTACTGATGGAGCTATAGTATATACTGATGCAAGATATGGGAAAGGAAACTATAGAGTTCACCATTCAGTAATTTTTCTGAAGTCTTTAACTTCAGCACCTGGCCACATGAACTCAAATATTAGTGAACTATGGAACTTAGTAGTTGGAAAGGATCATAGACCACCTTACTACATTTTTCATGAAAGGAAGAACAGAGGGAAGCTATCTTTGAGAAATGGTTGCCCTTTAAACTGCATGTGTCAAAAATGAGACTTCACCTCATCTCCAAGTATTTGTGACTTATTGAGAGGAAAGTCTGTTCAATTTGCCAACATTTTGCATTTTGAGATAATAATGGCCATTTCAGCCAGTACAGTTGAGAGTAAATTTTCAACTATGAACATTGAGAAAGACTCTAAACATATCAAAATACAACGGGACACATTGAATACCACCATGAAAATTAATGTGAATGATACTCCTCTTAAAGAATTCAAAGCTTTATCTGCAGTGGAGCATTGGTTAGATTCTGGTCCTGGCCATGGGCATGTAGATAGGCATGCAGTGTCAGAGTCACTCCATGACTAGTGAAACTGTTGTTAATTTAAATTGAGAAGTGACTTATTAAACTGGAAGATTCCAGAATGTGCCAAATGAAAAATATGTTTAATAGTCATGACATATGGATAATGATGTTTAGTCAGATTATCTATTAGCATTTTAAGAATAGATACCCGGTCAATAAATTTGATTTACATTTCAAATTACCTGGTTATAAGAATTTAAAAATTGAAATACTCATCATACTAGTGTACTCTAGTCTGCTGCACTAGTCAGAAAACCATTTGTTGTTTTTGTCTTAACACCACATGTGAAATTACTTGTGTCTGCATTAAAGAGCAGAACAACAGCTAATATTTTTGTCATTTATTTTACTGACGTTCAGAGGCAATACACATATCTAATAGACTTAACATATATATAAAGAGAAATAACAATTACAGAAGTAGTAATACTGTTTTAATCACTTTGTTTTCATAACATTTGGCAAGTATTTTCCACCTAAGGACAAGTAACAAAATCATGTGTGCTCACTCCTCTGGACAAGTAATCTTCATAAAATTGTTGCTTCCTGAAGGGGTGACAATAGCTCAAATTCTTACATCTGGAAAATCTTATTCCTGTAAAATCTGGATAAAAACAGCCACAAGAAGATCAAAAGTGGCAAGAGGGAGAGGATGCAGCATCTCGTAATGAATGTCATCTGGTTCAACTAATGTATTTACAAGTTAATTTTAAATTCAACCAGAGTAAATGATCGACTATAGTCAAATAGACAGATTGAAAAAAGTGTTATGATAGCAAGAAGGCATAGGAAGAGGTAGATGCACTGAAATGATGAGAAAAAAGCATTCCACAAGGGTGTTAGAAAGACCCTGTAAATAAGAAACCCCTTAGACATTGGGTTGAAAAATTAAATGAGAATGGGAGGAATACTTTCCACCTACCTTTGGAATCTTACCCCTTGGAGTTCGTGGTGGATACAATAGTAGAGGTGAACTTAATCAATGATTCCTTCAGGCTTTGACATCTGGTTTGCTGGGAATGGCCTCATTAAAAGGCTATACAGTTAATATGAGTAGGGTATCTGTGGAAGATATCCCATGTCAGTTTCTGAGCCTTTTGTACTTGTTTTCAGTCAGGTGTCCACCAAGGATGAGGATACCAGAGATAAAACATCAATGTTTTAAGGATCATAAGGACAGCTACATGGACAATACAATAAGTTACTGCTTCCACACAGTTATTAACAAAGGGTAAATTAATAATGACAAGATTAAGCTTTGAAAGAGAGTGAAAAACAGACAGTTAGCCTTCAGCTTCCATTATGGCAAATGAGTCAGGTGGCATCAACCAGACTCATTCTCCATTAGAATGAATGGAAAATGATCACTGCCTCAGGAATCACAGTCCACCTCCCAATAAAAACAAGAAATAAGAGAAAGTGAGCAAAATGAAAATAAGTAGAACCTCCAGTTATTGAAGTAAGGTTTTGATGTGAGAGCATATGCTCCATAGATAAACACATCCCTACAATATCTTCACTACTCCAGAGTGGATTGTGTCCCTTGAAGATTCCCATGAGAAAGAATGGGAATGAGAACTGCTTGATAAAACAATCAAGGTCCACTTGATCAAAATCCTCTCCTGGTAACAGCTAAAGAAACCAGTGTGATAGTATGGCCAATAGAGACACGGATGGTAACAGCCTCCAGTGGTGTATTAAATCTCTCAACACTGGCTCGGTCAATTTGACCGACCACATGACCTCTTTGTACTTGTTAAAATTCTTTGTAGATTTAATATTTCTAACTTTCAATACATTGTGTATATCTTCACAAAATTTGGCAGACTTTCAGTTAAAATCATAAGTCTTTCACACACAAAAAATCAAATTTATTAGTGAAGTATTTTTAATAAAATAGAATAAAGATTTTTCTATGAATATATTGAGTATTTGTTTTGAATAGTCCGTGTGCAAAGTAATTTTC